GGGTGCAGACAGTTCTATGAATCATTGAGGAAAGACAATAAGGAAACAGGATGCTTAAGGAAGTAGATTATTTAGAGGAAATCAAAACAATGGTAGAAATCAGATTTCATAGAATAGTCTCAAACATTGTCATACATTAGATCTCTCAGAAGAGGGACACAGAGCAAGAAGCCATAGAGTGACAGTCCACGTGGACTTTTCTCCACGTGGACTTTTCCCCACAGACATACACTTATGCACCAGAGGGGAATAAGGCCATAAACAAGATCAAAATCCCAGCATGTTAACAGCAAGGCCATGACTATGGGCAACCTCACCTTATTGACTTCCATGTCTTACTCAGGAGCCTAATTCCCATGATCCAACCAATGTACCTGAGCAAGACCATTCTCAACCGGAAATGAAATGCATGCTGTGGAAGGTATTGCTATAAAGATAACAGAGCGCTCACCAGATTCGGACCCCATACAAAGGGCCCATGAAACAAAGACTGGGTTACTCGCCATCAGCTTCTGTGAAAGACTTTTGCTCCTTCTCAGGCACCAGGGAGCTCGTCTGCTGCTTCTTTGTAGTGTATTTCGATCAATTCTCTGTCCTTTGTGCCTCTGGTAAATTCTTTTACCAACTGTCCCCACTGGCCTTGCCCACCATTCTACGTGGATACCCCCCCTCCCCCCAAAGTCCATAAAAAGCCCAATGCTACCCATGGGCTGATGTCTATTCTGAAAGTGCTGGAAGGAAGACCCTAGAACTAGTTCTTGGAGAGAAAAACAGATTATTTCCCCCTCCCCGTATCCTCAGGGGGTGGGTTCCAGGAGTCCCAGTATCCTCAAATCCACAGATGTTCAGGTCTCTTATGTAAGATGGAATGTTTGTAGAACCTATACATCCTCTTGAATATTTAACTCTGTAGATTACTGAGTATGCCAAGCTCAGTGTAACTACTGTAAATCATGGGGGAAAAGACCGTGTCTGTACAGGTGCAACTGAAAAGTACAGATGTTTACAAGAGCCAGAGATGGTGGCACACACTGGGGTCCTCAGGTGGTACACAACTTCAGGTGATTCAAAATTACTTCACTCTCAGTACCTGAAGAGACAGAAGCAGTCAGATCGCAAGTCTCAGGCCAGGCAGGGCTACATAGGAGAGTGTAGTCTTAGGATCAAGAAAAGGAACCAACAAACCTCCTCTCCAAACAAAATCAATCAAACACCATGCCCCTCCCCTCGCCCCGCTGCAGTTGGCTGAACCCTTGGAGGCAGCTGCATGGGTGTAGTTTGGTACTTTGGGTGTTATTAGTGATAGAAGCTACGCAGGGATCAGCAATAGCTGCTGTGTGTTTCATTGTTATTCAGAAAGTGAGGAATGTACATGAGGGAAGTAAAAGAACAGAACTTTATCAGCCAACCCTCACAGGGCCAAGAATATGTGAGAACATTAAGCCAGACCAATGATGAGGTCAAACCACCCATAAAGAGAGAGAGAAGGTGATGATTGGAAGTGTCCATCAGGCTTAGAGAGGGGTCTATGCAGGGCAGAGTCCAAGGGTAGTGACACCCAATGGTGAGTATCAGCAAAGTAGGCTTCCATCACCAAGCTCCTCACATGGCTCCTTGTAGGTAGCACACACAGTTGGACCGTGCTTGCCCAACACAGGCTGCCTGACCCTTGTCTATTCTTAGTGACCTAACAGAATGCTTGCTATTAGGGCACAGAATGCAAGACTGAAGCCCTTGAACACTTTGCAACATTATTGTGAAAGGACGTTTGGCTCCAGAAGCAACCAGCCAGGAGATTTGCTCGTAGCAAACTTGTTATCTTTCTGACCTCACCAGTGAAGCCAGGATAAATTCTGAGCTGGAAGGGCAGCTGTGCAAAACCAAGCTCTTATAAAAGGGAAGGTATTTTGATTCCCTTTTGGAATGGTATGGGAGATGGAGCCTGTACCATTTCTGGTGTCAGACTTGGTAAGCAGTCGCTGTATGCAGGATTTGTAGATAATTACAAATCCTCATGATGCCCTTTCAGGATGAATATCAGCTTTGTAACAGCGTCAGAGTTTGGCCAAAGCAGACTCTGTGATAATAAGGACCTACAAATATCCAGAGTTTTGCTGCAAGACCCCAGGCCTCTTTCCTTATTACCAAGGTCTCCAGTGGTTACCAGTTTGTCAACAAGCTGTTTCAGAACTTGTAATTAGGGGCCAGAGGGATGACTCAGCAGGTAAGCGTGCCCACTGCTCTTGCACAGGACTGCAGTCTGGTTCCCAGCACCCACATCGGGTGGCTCACAATGAATTGTAACTCCCTATCCAGGGGATCCCAAACATTTTTTTTTTGTCCTCTTCAGGTATTGCACACAAATAAAAAAGTTTTTTTTTTTTTAAATCATTAGGGAAGAATTTGTAATTTGTGTGAATGTGGTGTGCTTACACACACCTGTGAGCACGCACAGAGGCTGAAGGAGGACTCCTGGTGTTCTGCTTCATCATTCTCTCTATCTCATTCCCTCGAGACAAGTCTTCTGCTGAACCTGAAGCTAGGCTGGTGGCCACTGAACCCCAAGCACCCATCTGTCTCTATCTCCCACACGGCTGGGGTTCTGGGTGCCTGTGACCACGCCTGGCTTTATGTGAGGGCGCTGGGATCTGAGTTCAGGAGTCAGGCTTAGACAGCAAGCACGCCTACCCCTGAGCTATTTCTCTGGCCCCAAAGACTTTTTAATTGTTTACAAGTATTTTTCTCCCATCTCAGTCCAAGGCTTCCTCCAATCTACTCTACTATCGAGCCACACTCCCGGTACAAGTATTTAACTTTTTCATAATGTGTTTATTGATTAAGTTACCTCCCTGGTAGGATCCAGTTATTAGCAAGTGAATAACAACTACAGTGCACCGTGCTTGGCTGTTTACAGGGCACCAGCCGACCATGGACAAACAGTGTACCTTGCCTGTAGCTCTTTAGCCTGGCTAGGGTTTTAAAGAAGGGTGGGGAAGGGCAAAAAACATTTCCCTCCAGGCAGCAAGTGTTATAGGTTGTTTTCTTCTGGTTTTGTTTGGAATCAAGTCATGCCAAGGAATTAGAGCAGGCTGGTCTGGAAGTAGGTAGATATTTTGAGAACTGAAGCAAGTTTGTCACTAACAAAAAGCCCTGATCCCCCGGGACTAGTCAGTCTGAAATGGAGTGTCGTAGATCGTATGTTCTACAGTGTTTTGATTTACTGAGTCACGCCCACCTCCCTCATGACACCACAAAGACATCACCCACGTCTCCACATTTTGGATTTCAGTAAACCATTGCATGGTCAGATACAAGGCTGACCTCAGCCTTCACGCCTCCTCCTCTGAGGCAAACAAACTGTCACTGCTTAGTGAACGCCGACATCTGTAAACCTCAGCCCTTGGAGAAGGGGAAGAAAACCGCAGAACTATGGCTCTTGGTGAGGGAAGAGGGCATGCCCAGCTGTAAAGGCAGCAAAGAGAAGCCCCTGGACAAGATGGATACGGGGGAAATAAGGCTTCCCAGCACAAGCATAGACAGGAACAGAGGAAGCTGGAGGAGGAAAAGGGGAAGGCTGCAGGTGGAATTCAGAAATCTGACAGAGTTGCTCGCCTGCCTGCGATGAGGCTGCCCCATCATCCTCCCCATTTAAACATTGATGTTTCACCCACAGGTCTTCTGCCATTGCCAGGTAGAATACAGTGTTATTTGGGAGACTTTACAAATCTCTCAACCCCCAAAGTTAAGTCTTTGTTTCAAGAGGAAGCAGGTACCATCCAGGCACCTGCTTTTCATTTTGGTAGATACTTTAACTTTGTGAATTGAAACATAGTTTCCCTTCTGTCGCTGCCTCACAAGCTGCTGGAGCACCCAAGTCTGGTGACCCCATTCTTCCTGGCCCACATTTTTCTGAGGATGTGAAGTGAGGACTGCCACTGCGGGGCCTGTTTCTACGTGTTTCTACGTGTTTCTACGTGTTTCTACGTGTTTCGCTTTCTCCACCCTTTTGTGGTACTTTCACTATCTTTAGAGAACCAAGATCTCACTGTTTAACCTGTTCTGTAAAGCCACTGCCCTGCAGCAAGCCTTGACTCGGAAAACCAGTCATCTAGACTAGAGACTCAGAGGCAAGAGAATTGTAAGTTCGAGACCAGCCTGGACTATATTGCCAGTACTAAGCTACGCTGAGCCTTATAGGGAGACCCTCTATGTCCGTCAGTCTTTCTTTCTTTCTTTCTCAGCCTCACTGTGTCTGTCTCTGTCCCCATGTCTCTGCCTCAGTGTCGCTCTGTGTCTCTGGTCTCTTTCTTACACAGACACACACAGACACAAGCACACGCCCCTCTGCCTCATACCGTCTAGGTTATTACCAAGAACTAGAAGAATGTTCCATCAGCATGTGGAGATAAACAGAAGGGGAGCCATACCAGTGGCTTGGTAAGGCCACTCCAAGACAACCAAAATTGACCCTCAAAAACCTGAGCGAATCCAGCCTCCCCCATAGGTGTGATCCGCACGCACCCGGACGATCTAAGTCTGCACTCTCCCCTGGTCCCCCCAGTTTGATTCTAAGTCCCAGGAAATGAAGAGGCCCTGACCAGCAAAGACACTCCAGAGGTCCCAGTACCTCATCTTCTGTAGGAGCTGCAAGAGATGCGGCCACCCCTGTCACTTGTTTTGCGGACTCCCATGCACCTGGGGAGCGCCCTACCGGGCACCTGTGTCCCTTTTGGGGAGGAACCTTGGGGCTGCTGGGCCCGTGGGCGCTGGCTGGCGAGGGTGGAGACAGGCCGGGCCGTGCTGACTGGCAGGGGGACCACGGCGGCGGCCAGGAAGCAGAGACTGGGGGCAGAGGATGGGGTGTGAGAGGGAGGAGAAGTTCGAGGAGGAGCAGGAGGACCGGGGGGGGGGAGCAGAGGAAATGGAGCTGAGCGAGCGGAGTACACAGAGGGTAGGGTGACCTCGGGCAGGCACATGGGGGGGACATGGGCGTCACTCGCCTGATAAGGGCTCCCGCGTAGTCTCTGGCAGTCTCCATTGGCTCGGGTCCTCCTGTCCCCAAGTCGCGCCTCTTAAATCACTGCTGCGTCCGCCCCGCCCCGCGGAGACCTTGGCGACGGGCGGCACTGCTGAGAACAGGCGTGAGTTCTGGCTCCCACGCTGGGCCCCGGGGCCACGCCCCTTCGCGGGCAAACGGTGCAGAGGGCCCTGGAACACCAGATTTGGTGGTGCTGGTCACTGCTGTCAGTCTGTTTGTCCTTCTCTTCTGGAGGCTGGGGTGACTGGCGACATCACCAAAGCCATCACTTGAAAATGGAACCGCAGGTGTGCGCGGGGGGGGGGGGGGGCAAGGGGAGTGTCTGTCTTCACTCCAGAACCCGAACTAGGGCTGGGCGGCTGGCCAGAGAGTTCCCGGGGGACAGAGGGAAGTTGCCGGGGCCACGCGGAAGCTCAGCGCTTCGGGTTCTCGGAGCTGGGGCTTCCCTGTAGGTAAGAAGACAATCGAGTAGAGGAGGGAGTAGAGGAAGCGTGAGGCTGCCACCATTAATGACTAGAGTTGTAGGTTAGAGAGACAGAAGGAAAGCGCAAAGCTGATGCTGCCAGGAAGGGTTTTTTTCTCACTCAGTGCCTAGCGGCTGCCCCATGCCCACAGAGCTGTGTGTGTGTGTGTGTGTGTGTGTGTGTGTGTGTGTGTGTGTGTGTGTAGCGGGACATCCAGCAGAGCCTCCCCTACAAAGCCTGAACCCGGAGTTGCTGGAAGCTCCTTTCTGCTCCCCATCGCCGTCCAGGAGCTTGTTGCTGTGTTCCAGGCACGGTCACCAGCTCGCCTCCCCAGGCCGTCGCACAGGAGCAGGGACTGCTCCTTCTTCAGGGTCGTTGGTGTCAACAGACCTCACCTGACCTGCAGGGAAGTAGAAGCTAGCAGCAATTTCCTGTGAACACTCTGCGCTCTGCGAGAGGCTCGCAGAGCAGCCTTTCCTGCCCAGAGCGATAGGGCTGGACAAAAGCCACCGGAGGTCATTGGCGAACCCTCCCACTGACGCCTCACCTGCCAGGTGAGAAGATGGAACCAGCCAATTCAAACCACCCTTTCAAAAACGTCTCACTGTAAAGAAATTCTCACGTCCGGATGCTCGATGCTCGGGGTAACGGAGCAAACACCGCCAGGTTCAGAATCCCCAGCGCTCTCATGCATTTGCTCGTTTCTTTAAACACCTTTGACTGAAATCCTTAGTCTTTCCCCATCTCTGTCTCTGTGTCTCTTTCTTCCAGGCTGGCCTCAAGCTCACAGATAAAGATCCTCCTGGTCCCTCTACCTCTTGAGTGCTGTGTCACTACTCACAGCAAATATTCATTTAATAAACAAACAAGTAAGTTAAAAAAAAAAAAACCTCTCAGGGCTGGAGAGATGTAAGTTTGGATCCCAACACTCACATAAAAAGCTGGGCGTGGTGGTGCATGCCTTTAAATCCCAGCCCTCAGTGAGTTTGAGGCCAGCCTGGACTACAAAATGAGTCCAGGACAGCCCGGGGTATATTACACAGAGAAACCCTGTCTCAAAAAAACAAAACAAAACAAAACAAAACAAAAAGCTGGGGGAAGGGCCAGCCATAGTGGCATATACCTTTAATCCTAGTACTTGGGAGACAGAGGCAGGAAGATCTCCGTGAGCTTGACACTAGCCTGGTCTACATACTGAGTTCCAGAACAGCCAGAGCTACCTAGAGAGACCCTATCTCAAAAAACAAAACCAAACCAAAACATATAACCAAACAAAACCACAAACAAAAGAAAAGAAAAGCTGGGGGAAACATGGGAGCCTGTAACTCCAGTGTTGTGGGGGCAGGTGTGTGTGTGTGTGTGTGTGTGTGTGTGTGTGTGTGTGTGTGTAAAGGCAGGAGGGTTGCTGTGGCTTGCTGGCCACCAACCTAGCTCTAGAAAATAAGGTGGAGAGTAATATAGGCGGAGAGTAATAGAGTAGGACACTCTCCTTCTGTCCCCACATCACACACATTCACTGCACTCCCATATCACAATGTCAGGCATGGATGGAGGAGGGCCTCAGGGGGCCTGCCTTCACTGCAGAGCAATTTGCTACTGATAACATCACCTTCAGTTGTGTACCCACTGAGTGCTGCATCAGGCTCAGATGGACAGTTCCAATCTGATTGGCATCCAGGTGACCCTGCTTAAGCTAAGGGGTCGGTCACGGTGGCTGGGTTGTGGTTGACAGGAGCAAGAGGAAAACGGGAGAGGGGAGGGGAGGGGGTAGAGAGTAACTAGAATGTATTCTATAATGCTTGGGATTCTCAAATAACAAAGGTAGCGAAAATATGAGAAAACGTTCCCATCGATCCACGGGATCACTCATCACAAAGATGGCAGTCTGTAGTCTATGCCCTAACCATCCAGGCCAGTTGATTTGAATACATAAGGCACTAGTCACATACTGGCGTGAGAGTCTGGAGCAGTCAAGGTCAGGGTCATGGAGATAGGTTCTAATCCCTAGGGCCTAGAGAGCTGCTTGACTCATGTAGACTTGAAAGCAGATAGATGGGGCACCATGGGGCATCTGAATGCAAACTGTAGAAGGAAAAAGTGGGGCATTCGGTCCCAAGGGCACAGAAGCTGTGCAGTGATTCTCAGGTTAAAGGAGGGGGAGGAGGCAGCAAGACTGCTCTGAGTTGCTTTTAGGAAGAGCAAAAGCCCATGGGACCTCAGTCACCTGGAAAGCTGTCCAGGGCAGGTAGGTGTGGGTGCCGGGAGAGTGGTGGAGAGCCTGCAGGGGTGGAACGGGACCGGCTGAGGTCTGGATTCGAGAGAGCCAATGGAGCGGGAGTGAGGGGACCGGACTGGGTAAGACCCAAATGAAAGATGCCAAGTGCCGTGCTGGGTGCCAGCAGTGGGCATGGACAAGAGGGGAGGCTGGGCACTTCAAGGACATGATGATAACAGAGGGGAGGCCCCTGGTATTTTTAGTTGGATGGCTGGAGAGACAGCATAGCACCCTGGCAGGTGAGAAACAACAGGAGGGTTGGTTTGGGGTTGGAGTAGAGGTTAAGCTGAATCTACCCTGGCAGAAGATGCCCCTCACCTCCTCCAAAATCTCCACTCCATGGGGGTGTTGCTCAGGGGAGCTCCCTGCTGGAAGTAAATAAAGGCTGGGTGCCTCCTCAGTTATGGGCATCGCTATGGAGAACATAAGTTCTTGAGAAAGTTTAGTAACTCAGCTTTTTGCCTGTTTTTTGGCAACCGACTGAATGAAACGATGAATTCTGAGTCAGACTCCTGCCTTGCTACCATAAATCCTATGGCTAAATGCATTGGTTAGTTAGGTTTTGTTTTGTTTTTTTTTTTTTTTTTGGGGGGGGGGAGGTCAATTTGACACTGGGGTCATCTGGGAAGCAAGAACCTAGACTGAGAAGGTGCCTCCGTTAGATTGCCTGTGGGCATGTTTGTGGGGGCCTTTTCTTAATTAATGATTGGTGTGCACAGCTCCTCCCTGGGCAGGCCAGTAAGCAGCACTCCTCCACAGCTTCTGCCTCAGTTCCTGCCTTGACTTCTCTTCCTGCTGTACTGCAAGCACTGAAAGCTGAAGTAAACCCTTTCCTCCCCAAGTTGCTTTTTTGGTCATGGTGTTTCTCACAGCAAGAGCAAACTGAGACACAGAGGAAAGCTTTCTTTTTTATTATTTCAGTGCAATTTTATCCATTCATGCTTTTCTTTTTATGTTTTTATTTGTTTGTTTGTTTTTGAGACGGGATTTGTGTGTGTGTGTGTGTGTGCGTGTGTAGCCCTGGCTGTCCTGGAACTCACTCTGTAGACCAGGCTGGCCTTGGAGATCCTACCTCTGCTTCCCAAGCACTGGGATTAAAGGCTTGGGCCCCCACCTGCCTGGCTTCATTCTTTATTTCTAATCATCTGCGATGAAGGTGAATATAAGCAAAACAGATTACATAAATGTGTGAAAGTATCCCAGTGAAACCCATTCTTTTGTGTAATTAATTAACGTAGGTTAGAAAAAATGACTGATAATCCCTGGCGGCATTGGTTCCGAGTTCTCAGTGGTCCCGTGTGGGTTGGGTGAGATACGGTCTACATGTTTGGCATTGGCACATCTTAGTGCTCCAGAAAGAGGCAAACTCAAATGCTGCTGGGCACACAACCAACGCTGCCTTAGCAGCATTGTCAGGAAGGTAAAAAATTATCCTATTTGCCACCCCACCAGCTCTCTTAAAAAATCTGAAAAAAAAATTATTTTGTGTATATGCATATTTTGCCTACATATATGTGTGTGTCACATGTGTGACTGGTTCCTGTGGAAGTCCGAATAACTGGAGCTAGAGCTTGATGAGGTGTTCAGGTTAACCTGGAACCCATGATTCTCCTGACTCACCCCCTCCAAAGCTGGGATTGCAGACTCTTAATAGGGTGTTCTCTTCTGTGCCTGGATGCTAGTTCCCCACCTTGAGACTCATTCACATTGATACGCTATTACTATTATTGTTGTTATTTTCTTGCCAAGTAGAATTCCAATGTAGGATATATATCAAGTATCAAATACAATTATCCATTCTACAGTTATGGCTTGGCTGGTAGGACTAAGACATCTCTCTCTCTCTCTCCTTCTCTTTTCTTTCTCTCTCTCTCTCTCTCTGTGGTGTGTGTGTGTGTGTGTGTGTGTGTGTGTGTGTGTATGTATGTGTGTATATACTGTTTCCTCTTGGGTCTTGGGAACATGGATACATGCTCTGGAGTGATTCCATTCTGTTATGTAAGGACCCTCTGCCAGGTACTGTGAGACTGACCAACGAGAGAGACAGATCAGTTCAGTGAGGCACTTACTATCACAGAAGCAGGAGCCTGACCAGCAACAAGAGCACTTGGACTGCTGGATTTTGAATCAGAAAGCATCTTATTTACTTACTGTTCCATGGCTTTGAAGAGACACCATGACTGAAGCAACCAATAAAAGAAAGCATTTTAATTGGGGGCTTGCTTACAGTTGCAGGGTCTGTGCTCATCATATTGCTGAGCATGGCTGCAGGAAGGCCAGCATCGGGATGGAGCAGGAGCTAAGAGCTCCAATCCTGATTCAAAAGATAGAGTCAGAGAGAATGAGATTGGGCCTGTCATGGGCTTTTGAAACTCATAGCCCACCCCTAGTGACGCACCTTCTCCAACAAGGCCATACCACTTAATCCTTCCTAAAACAGTCCCACCAATTAAGGACCTGGCATTCAAATATATAAACTTATGGGACCATTCTCATTGAGACCACCACAGGAAGAAAGACGTATTTATGGCCCAGGACAAAAGTGACCATCCTGGCTTCACTGTACCTAACTTGCCTTAAGATACCATTGAGGAGATAGGTGCATCTGTGAGCCTGGGACTAGGCAGAAAACTCAACATACGATGCTAACGGTTTTTATCTGTGTGTAGTTTGCTGGGATACTTCAGGAAAAAGCAGCCAGGGTGACTCCAGGAAGCCATGGAGTCTCACGTCAAGATGGCTGCAGTTGTGTCAAGGCGGCTGCCCCTTCACATCCAAGTGGCACAAGTCTGAAAGTGTCAGGAATGCAGGTTGGGTGGAGAAGCCTAGTCCCTCAGGAGCAGGCCTGGGTGGAAGGGCTGGGGGCTGGCTATGTGGTCGTGTCCTGCTACCTGCAGCTTGAGGAGGCTTGGTTTGGATCCAGGTGCCTCTGAGACAGAGTCACCACCGCATGCTCCTGATGCCATGGTTCTGAGCTAGTGACAGCAAAAACTTGAAGAAGTGCATTCCAAAGTGATTGAGGAGCATGCGGGAGGGAGGAGCAGGATGTGCTTCCCCATCTGTTGATGACCGAGGGGAGAAGTCAGGGTGGGGGGCCCCAATGCAGGTGTTTATAGCCTGAAAGCCCAGGGCTGTGGCTGGAGCACTGACTAATTATCCTTTAAGTCCCAAGGTAGGCAAGCCCTCCACACCTTTCTCTGGAATTACATCACATCAAAGTCTTTCTCTTGATTACCCTCAGCTCCACTACAGAATGGACAGTACTGGAAGAGTGGGGCGCCATCAGGTGTAGGAGCATTAGAGTTGGACAGCTTGCTGCTTGCTGGGTGCAGGACCTCTACTCTGCCTGAGGCCAGCTACATTTTGAAGACTGAAGACAGTCACCTTCACTGTGCCATCTGAGTAAGAGCCCTGGCTGGCAAATGTGGATAAGACTAGGAGAGGCAGGGTGGGGAGGTGGGGTGTGGTCAGGACACTTGTGCAAGGAACCCGTGCTTTATACAGTTATTTCTTCAACTAGATTAGAGGCGAATATGCCATGGGTTCTAAAATGGAGATTAGCATCTTCCCAATTTTGTGCATAGCTTCCTTTAAAACTTAATATGGGGAGCCAGGTATGGTGGTGCATGCTTTAATGCCAGCATTCAGGAGGAAGAGGCAGGCGGATCTCTGTGAGTTGGAGGCCAGCCTGGTCTACAGAGTGAGTTCCGGGACAGCCAGGGGTATATAGTGAGACCCTGTGTCAAAAAAAAAAACAAAAAACAACAACTTAATATTGGGGTTGAAAATACAGCTTAGTGGTAGAACACTGCCTAGTGTGAGTGAGGCAAGTAGCATAAAGTATGAACCAAACCAAAGCCATAAATAAAGCAAAACCGAAACTCAGTATTAAACTGTGACAAGGCACTGAATATTTTTATGCCCTGTAACCTTCTGGGGTTCAAGGTCACATCTATCTAACAGAGGCCGTGGCCTCTCTTGACTAAAGGACTCAATGACCCTCCCCCCAGCAGCATGCCAACACCCAGAAGTCCCTGGAGCTCCAGCTGGAAGCCTGCTCTGCTGGGAGAAGGGTTATCCAGGTAGCTGGCAGACCTTCGGCCAGCGCTATTAATAGCCCTGGGTGCTGGCCTGGCTTTGCCTGGCGCCTCTCTGCTTGCTGCTGTTGCTGGGCTTGGGTTTTTGTTTTCCTTCCAAGCATAGGAACAAGGCTGATGTTCTTTGCTGCTGAATTCAGTGTGAGGTGATTTTTTTTAAATTTTATTTTCATTTATTTTTTCTCTGATTTGTGCAAATTCCACATCCGTCTTCCACAACTGAGCATAAGAGCAAAGAGATAAGCTGTGCCAGAGCATAGTTCTGGTTTTCTCATATGATTATCCTCGTCTTTTAAAAAGATTTCTTTTTCTTCATCATCATCATTGTTATTATTATTATTAATGTATATGAGTTTTTGTTTTTGTTCATTTATTTATATGTATTTATTTATACATGTATATGATCTATCTGCAAGTACACCTGCATACCAGAAGAGGGCATCAGATCCCAGTATAGATGGTTGCAAGCCACCATGTGGTTACTGGGAATTGAACTCAGGACCTCTGGAAGAGCAGTGTTCATAACTGCTAAGCCATTATTCCAGCCCCAGGAGATTTATTTTTGGAGACATGTTCTATCATGGCCCAGGCTGTCTTGGAATTCCCACCTTCACCTCTCAAAGGCTGGGATTACAAGCACGAGTCGCCATGCCTGGCTGGAAGAGGTTTTTATCAACGTCTCTGTGGCAGAAGCACAGTGTTGTCACTGGCTACCTTCGTGAAGGCATTATGGATAAAGCAAGTATCTTCTCAGACTATGTTCAGCAATGACTCTGGGCCTTTTCTTGCCGACTCTCTCAGTTCAGTTGGACTCCTGCCGTTTTTCTTCTTGATGAATGATACGTATACACACTCTGTGTGGTGTTTTTCTTTTGTTTGTTTACATAAATGGCATTCCATACCATATTCTGCAATGTACTTTCCCTAACAGCATGCATCTCTTCCTCTGAGGACATTAAAAACTGACCCCTGGGCAGGCTTTCCCGGCTCCGCGACCGTGGGGCGCTCGGCGAGCCCGGACCTTGGGGCTCTTCCTCACAGGCGGAGGGATCCACGGCGGCTGAGGAGGCGGCGCTGAGCCTACGGGGAAGAGGCAGCTACGGCGGCAGCGGCGGCTGTGGCGGCAGCGCATAAAGGGGCCGCCGCCGGGTGATGCGGTGACCGCTGCGGCAGGCCCAGAAGCTGAGCGGGCCTCGGCCCTCAGCTCGTCGGATCCGCGCTCCGGAGCCCCCGCTCTTCTCCGGTCGACTCGCGACCGCTCGGGCGATCTCAGGCCCCCTCGTCCCTTCCCCGTCCCTCCCCCGTCCCCGTCCCCGGCCCGGGGGCCGTCGCCACCGTTTCCCACCATGGCCCTGAAGAGAATACACAAGGAATTGAATGACCTGGCTCGAGATCCCCCAGCACAGTGTTCAGCAGGTCCTGTTGGAGATGATATGTTTCATTGGCAAGCTACAATAATGGGGCCAAATGACAGCCCCTATCAGGGTGGAGTATTTTTCTTGACAATTCATTTCCCAACAGATTACCCCTTCAAACCACCTAAGGTTGCATTTACAACAAGAATTTATCATCCAAATATTAACAGTAATGGCAGCATTTGTCTTGATATTCTACGGTCACAGTGGTCTCCAGCACTAACTATTTCAAAAGTACTTTTGTCCATCTGTTCTCTGTTGTGTGATCCCAATCCAGATGATCCTTTAGTGCCTGAGATTGCTCGGATCTACAAAACAGATAGAGAAAAGTACAACAGAATAGCTCGGGAATGGACTCAGAAGTATGCGATATAATTAAAGAAATTATTGGATAACCTCTACAAATAAAGCTAGGGGAACTCTGAAAGAGAAAGTCCTTTTGATTTCCATTTGACTGCTTTCTATGAGCCCACGCCTCATCTTCCCCTGTGCACATGTTTACCTGACACAGCAGTGCTGCGTGTTGTACATACTTGGAACAACAAACTAGAAATACTGTACTTCTGTACCAACATTGCCTCCTAGCAGAGAAGTGTGTGTGTGAGAAGCCAGTTCTCCGGGCGTAACCTAGGTGTGAGACTAAAAGCTTTCCTTATTGATTTAAATTTGGATAATGGCAAATGTGAGGGTTAGTGGGTACACAGTGTGTGCTTGAATGGGAGGAAAAAAGCTCCAGTGACCGTAGGAGATTGTTGTTAAGTGGAATCCATCTAATCTTAAACAGTCATAAAAAGCAAGGTGAAGAACATGAAGCTGTTTCTGTATTCATTTCATCCTGAAGGACCTACAATGTAGGTGAAAGTGATAAGCAAACAGTAAACTCTACCTACATGCTGTATTTTAAGGTCTAAGTTTAACTGATCAACATTTAAATGGACTGGAGCTGTTAGTACATAAAGTGTGGTGGGCTTTTGTTCCCAACACTTCACATCTCCCTGCCCTTTCAGCCTTCCTCCTTTTAGCCCCTTTCCATAATCTTTGGTTTGTATGTGGTTTCTCAGTTAATACATAGCTAATAGCTCTTATTTTTCTTATGTTTTTAACTGCTTTAGGCCTATTTTGATGTAAGGGTGAAAATTCATTTGATGGAAATACTTGTGTATATTTAAAGACCCAGTTGCTCCTCTGGAGCTTGTACATTCAAGAATGATTAATCTGTATAATAAACTGATTACTACAGTCATTACATATAAAAAAAAAAAAAACTGACCCCTGCCTTTTAGACTACTGTGTACTAGCTCAGGGCATGTTCACAGTGAGAATTTTTGGTTTCTTTAAAAACACAGAAATGTTATGGGAATATGTTTTTGTTTTAATCCCAGTTGTGGGATATGGGGCTGCTTCAGAGTGTCCACAGCAGCTCTGATTTGCCTCGTGCTCTAGCAGGGGTGTGATTTTTGTTGGCTGCAGACAGTTTCTGCAAATGTGTGAAATTTGGATTTGGGGGGACTCTTGAGAGGGTATGTAAATGTGGGAGCCCCGAGAGGGGTTGTGGTGATGCTACTTCTCCAGCTGCTCCTGCTACTGCTGCTCCTTCTGCTGCTGCTGCTGCTCCTGCTGCTGCTGCTGTTGTTGCTGCTGCTGCTAGTTGCTGTTGGTTGTGATTTGTTGCAGCTGGTCAAGTGGTTGTGCACAAAGAGATGAAAAAAAGAAATTGGATATCCTGTCGGCAAAGATCAAGCCTGCTCCAAGGACCTCCGCACCCCTAATCAGCAGGAAGTAGTTTAATGATAACAACACCCCCTTTCCCCTTTGTCCTTCTTTCTCTCCTACCTAGTGTTGGGGGGTTGGAAGAGTGGAATAAGGGTGGAGAAGGGTGGAAGAGAGTAAGAAACCCACAAAGTAGTAAAAGTCCAGTCACACCTATGCACAGCACAGGCTAGTCAACATCTCCTTTTGTTGAACACTGGAGATGTTCCCCATTGGTCCACAGTGTAAACAGTGCTATTCGCACTTGCATCCTGTTTACACAGCATTCACTGGGCTGTAACACCCATGAGTGGTTTGAATGTAAAGTGTCCTCTGTTCACTCTTAGGACGCTTAGAGGGTGGAGCCTCACTGGAGGACATGGGTCCCCTGGGGTCAGATCTGAGGCTTACTAGTCTGACTTGGCTTCTTTTCTGCTCTCTGCTCTCTGACTTCAGAGGAACGGTGACCAGCCCCTGTGATGTCTTCCTACCACAACACACTGCAGTCCTCCTGAGACCGTGAGACAAAGGCCACACTCCCTTAAGCTGTGTCTTGTCAGACATTGGTCACAGCAGAGAGCAAGGCAATTAGTACAATGTTCAGTCACAGCACAAGTCGTTAGAGAAGTGAAAATCAGAACCTTAGCAAGGCGCCACTCTGGGACTGCACTTCTTTTACTTGCTTTAAGACAGGACAATACAAATGTTGGGGAATATGAAGAAACTGGAACCAGTAACACACTGCTGATGGGAAGGGAAATGATGTAGGAGAAGGGAGTGTTTGTTCTTCCAAATGTGCATGGTTTGGATGGGGTAGAGCTCAATGGTAGCCTATCATGTGTCTGGTGCTCGCTTCAATCCCCAACATAATGAAAAATAAAACAAACAAAAACCCTCTGTCATTAGCAACTTCCGTTTTAGGAATATCCCCCAAACATTGCAACAGACACCCAGAGAAATACTGTGTACAGGTGGTCACTGTTTAATGCTCATACGCCGGGTCGATATCCGGCAGGTGGAGGTGAGAGGAGGGTGGCCAGTCCAGCTGGACGCCCTCTGTGGCTGAGCAGGATGGTGAGTGTCGACGGCCGGACCTCCCCGGATGCCCCAAGGAATAAAACACCACCAAGCCGGGAGATCTGTCGAAGCAGGAACTCATTTTATTGAATAAAGCAGTCTTTTTATAGGTTTGGGTCAGGGGTCAGGGTTAAGGAAGTGAGGTAAGATGACATAGAGGGCAAGGTTAGGTAGTGCAAGGAGAGGTGGGCCAGTGACAAAACTCCAGGTAACAGTTACCAGGCAGGGTTGATTTTAAGGCGGATATGCTGAATCACTTTTGCCCAGAAGTGGCACTTCTTAAATCAGACCCTAAAGACAGGTCTCCAAACTCGAGCCAGGCTCAGGTAGATGCAGCAGGCCTTATCAGGTATTCACAACAGCTGAGAGGCAGAAGCAACTCACGTGTCCATCAAGAGACAAAATGTGATATGTAAATACAGTAGTTAACCTTTAAAAGGCGACGGCCGGGGCTGGAAAGATGACTCAGTGGTTAAGAGTATCTACTGTTCTTGTAGGGGATCAGGGTTCAGGTTTCAGACCCCACGCTGGGTGGCTCACAACCACTTGTAACTCCAGTTCAGGGGATCTGATACTCTCTGGGCTCTGAAGGCACCAGCGCTTACGAGAGAGTGTGTGTGTGTGTGAGAGAGAGAGATAGAGAGAGAGAGAGAGAGTGTGAGAGAGAGATAGAGAGATGTATGAATGTGTGTGTGTGAGAGATGTGTTTGTATGCGTGTGTATATGTCTGTGTGTGTGAGAGAGGTACATGTCTGTGTGTCTGCATGTGTGTGAGAGAGAGATGTGTGCATGTATGTGTATGTACATGTGTATGTGTGCAAAAGATCAGGGTAAGAAGGACTCACTTCACCTAATTTCAAAACAGTGATACAGTCTGTGTGGTGTTTGTGGAATAAACAAAGTGGGTCAAAGGCAAGCTGTGAGTGTGGAGATGGACCCACGCTTTGGCTTTCAGTAGAGGAAGAACAGGCAAGGCTGAGGCCATGGAACATGACCTTGTGTCTGCGATGAGCTTTGACCCATGCCTTGTTTAAAATGAGCTTTTAATTGTTTTTACATTTTTACTTTTGAATTTCGTTTTGTTGGGGGGATGGGGCTTGGAGGTGGGACTCATGCATGTGCCTGCCGCAGGGCATTTGTGGTGGTCAGAGGACAGCCGGTGGGTGCCAGCACTTTCTGTCACCATGTGAGTCATGGAGGAGGAACTCAGGTTGTCTGGCTTGGTGGCAAGTGATGTTGCCTGCTCAGCCATCTTGCATGCTGGCCATCTGCAAAACTGACAATACTCCTCAGAGAAATGCAAATTAAACTAGCTGTGAGATACCCCCATTAGCTGCGTAAAATGAAAAGCTGAAGCCCTGAGAACCCCAAGTGCTGACAAGAAAGCAGCACACTGAGGTTCTCAGAGTGGCCAGTGGGAATGCCAACTGGACCAGAATTTCTCTGTTTCTTATGAAGTTAAGCCTCCAACCATAACCTAGCCAGCCCACTTTCAGGTATTTCCTTAAGTGAAAACAAAACTTAGCTTCCCTCAGAATCCTATAAGTGAATATCCATAGTGGCTGTATTCAGAATGGCTCCAAACTGGAAGCAAACCAAAGGTGTGTTGCCTGGGGAGAGGACAGACAGCTTGGCAGAGCTAGAAAATGAAGTACCCAGCAATCAACAGGAACTGCAGATGTGTGGAACTCCCCAGATGAACCTCAGGTGTGTTGTGGAAACCGAAGGAAGCCAGATTTGAATGACTATGAGCTGTGTAATTCCACCTACGTGAGGTTCTGGAACATCTAGGAACAGGACAGTGGTGCCAGGGCTTGAGGGAGGGTGACTCCCAGGGGCACACAAGAGATCTGGGGGTGGAGGGGCTTGCTGTAGATTTCCATGATTGCAGTAGTTACACAAAGGTATCATTTGCCAAAATTCAAAGGGACCTCAGAGGTTAAAAGGGGTGAACATTATGCAAATACAACTTTAATTTTAAAAATGCATTTGTGTGTGTGTCTGTCTGTCTGTCTGTGCTTGCCACCCTATGGATGCTGAGGTTAGAGGACTAGTTTTTGGACTTGGTTCTGTCCTTCTACCTTTACATGAGTTCTGGGAATTCAGTCAGGTACTCAGGCTTGTGAGGCAAGAACCTTTAACTGCTGAGTCATCTCACTGGCACCAGAAATAGATTCCTTTTTGGAGGGATCTTAGCGCAAAATGGCATAACCACTTAGGAAAACTCATGTCAGTTTCAGAGAGCAATAAAATCAAATGTACAGTTCTCCAATTACCCAGGGACTCCAACAGTCACAGGTATTTCCCAAGAGAATGCAATACTCGTTCACAGCACACTCTCCCTTGAAAGCGAGAAGACACAATAGTCGTAATGTTCATCAGACCAGAGAGCGAACACTGTTGACTTCAGCAAATGCTGGCCAATGAGTTTGCACATTAGACTCTTCAAGAAAGAGGGCCAAATGGTTGATCCGCACTTCAACATGGTGGAGTCTCAGTGCACAGAGCAAGAGCCAGCCACAAAGCACAGAGCCTGAAAGGTGGGGACAGTGTGCTTTTGAGGAGAGAAGTGAGCCTCTGCCTCAGGCACAGCCAGGAAGTGACAGGATT